GTAGACACTACTTGGTGAGAAAAATTGACCCAACCGACGGAATTGCTTACAGTGCACTTTCTATACACTTCTGTCCCCGATGCATTTGATCTCTTGAAGAAGAAACTTTTAATCTACCTTTTGTGTTAGCCAAAACTTAACAATTCAGTAATTGACCAGCTACGTGCAAACAAATTACTGTAGACACGTGATGAGAAAAACTGCCGATCAAGTTAATTGCAGTTTGGTCGAATCACCCTAAGGGACGGGTCTTTCCGAGAATGGCGAGTTACGCGAGCGTTTAGCGAATCGACCAGATCGAACAAATATCTGTCCCCGACGATCGATAACGCCCCCCGCGTGAAATACTTTTCGTATATATCACGTTCGAACGTACGTATACGAGCTCAGCCATCGGCACGTTCGTCGGAGTGCGTGCATCATGCTCTTTCTCTCTCCCTCTCTCTCTTCTTCGATAAAGGCACCAGCGGATCGAGGTGTCCGGCCAGTCGGTTCTCGGACGTCGATCGTTAAGTGTGCCGCGTGGATCTTGCCGATCTCTGATTTTTGCGGCTGCCGAAAGGATCTCGCACCGATTAGAATGGAAATGAAAGCAATTTCGAGGAGGACGCTCGCGAGTAACACGACGAAATCGGTCGGATAAGTTGGGACGTCTTTCGGGAAACTCGATATAACGTCGCACTTGGGCCGAGAAAAACAACGATTTGGTGAAGATCGGACGATTAAGCACGTGCGTGTATGTGTGTGCCTGTGCGCGCGTGGATCCTCGATAATCAATCAACCGCTGTACACGGTGTTCGATAAGTCGCGAAGACAGAGAGTCGAGCGAGCACGTGGTCGCCGCCGCGGCAGCGAGGATCGGTACGGATTTCCGACGGTCTCACGTAAGTTCTCCTTCGCGGCGCGCGGAGACGTCAATTTTGAAGGCCGGTCTTGGAGCGGGAGGGGAGAAATAATATAGAATGAGTTAATGAGCGGAAATTACCGCAGGACTACGATAAAGTTCGCTTCTCGCCGCTCTTTGCGAGCCACCTCTCGGATGACGAGCGGGAATTGTAGGTCAATGACCATTCTCGTCGTTCCCGTCATCCTGATACGGCGCTCCTAATTCTCCAAAGTGACGTCCCCGTCGTGCAGACGACGTTGCCTTAATCCGATCCGGATTATAAAGCCGCAATAAAACTGCGAAGTAGCTGCGTGTATAAGCGACGATCTTGTTTCTTGGGGCCGTTTCGCTATCTCGAGACTTAAGCCTCGCGACGAGATTCAGTCGACGTCCTAGCGACGTACGATAACGTCTTCTTCGTTGACGCCGTAGGTGTCTCGGATCGATTGGGACCCGGCAGGGATTTCCGGATGACTTAATGCTCGCACCGACACCGAGTGTGATCGATGACACGTGCATTCGTGCGAAAAAAATCTCTGAAAAAGGCCGGTGCGAGCGCGAGATAACGATATACATATATAGGTGATATTTGGAGAATCGACCGATAATGCATCGCTAGTCTCGATTTCGTAATTCTCGAGAGCGTCGGATTCACCTGTCTGACTAGTCTGCAAAGCCACCGGCAGACACAAGAGAGGGAGAGAGAGAGAGAGAGAAAGAGGGAGAAAAGTGACTGAAGTCTTCAATTAAAACCGGCAACCGGCATTAAGCAAATAACGCCCGCGTTACATGGAAGACTTATCGACGAGTGGTGCAACCAGGGTGTGACGAGATAAATGTGCAAGATCTAATATGATATCGAGTGACGAAAGAGGAGCGAGAGCGCCAGTCTCGCCTAAATGTCGCCGGGACAAGTGCCGCGTCGCGTAGTCGCTCGGTGCATCCGGAGCAAGGCCGAATTCACTATTGGCAAAGTTCAATAATTGAAAAATCCAAAGTTCGAGTTATGCTCAATGCGAGGTGCTTGACGCGCATTAATTCAGAGATTGACGCAGTATAAATCCCGGGACACGAACGCATTGACTCGATTAGACTTTGATAAGGCGCAACCGTTCCGCTCAGGATGGGACTCATTCGCGTCTGCGTCCTTTTCGCGTCTCTGTTGACGCCAATCGCGTGCACGAGTGACGTGGTACCCACCATATATCCTATCCCATGGGTAAGTAATTTCGCCTTCGACATTTATGACATGCCCAGCCTGCAATTACATTTTATATTTATTTGTCCGCGCCTCACGCCAAGTTATATTTGGACCGAGTGGCCACTATTGATACCAATTTCTTGATATTGTCCAGATAACCCCAGTTGTAAAAGCTCTACGCAGATATCTGATCTCTTCTGAGATCGCGAGATTGCATAAGAGATCGAGATGCTGAAATAAAAACGACAGTCTAAAAGAAGCGTTTAAAAGAGGACGTTCGTTCGATGCAAATCGGCAAATTGCTATGGACGCTACAAATTCTTCGGAAACCCGCGGTTCAATTTCTCAATTTGCGGATTGCGAGTTCGCAAGAAATATTACGTACCGTTGTTTACTCGACGATCGATGCTCGCTTGTGTAGAGGCTGTTTCGCAGAGGAGTGCCCAAGCGGGGAAAAAATTTCACATTTCCTTTGCCTCTCGATCTCAAAAGTCCATCTTCAAATATGCCGAGTCAGTTTCCGTCAGCGAAAGTTTACAACGCCAACAACGCCAGCGTTTTCTGTCGTTTACGTCATTATCCTCTTATTTATGCTGGCGACGCGTCCCGAGTTGCATTTTCCCCGAATTTGGGAGCGTCGAGGTATCGACGGTGTCATCGGGCAATCGCAAAATACTTTCAATGTCTACGTTTTAGCAAAACGAGACCGTAGTGCCGGAGGAATACAGGCAACTGCCACTGGTGGGGAAATGTTGCTCCATAGGCGAGGTCATTGTAAAAGACACGGACGGGGGTACCGTTTGCGTCTCCTCGAACGACACGACGGTGTATTTTTCACCTTTCTTCAGCGACTTCAATCGCACCGGCGCGCTGGTGCCCGGTGACGAATACAAGACGTTCGTCGCCATCGTGGGAAATCCCTGCAGTCTGAAGTACGTACATGGGGAACACGGGGGAGAATCCGTACACAGTAAAAAATCGCGTGCTCAAATGTTAAACTTTCCTTGTGTCACCAACAATTAACACTATCCAAGTGTTACACGCTGATTTTTTTGAAACTTTGCACACTTGTACAACTTCGAAAAATATTTGTCAATATTTTGAGGGCAGTTCCTACCCTTAAAATGCTTTATGAGCACAAATAAAAAAATAGGGGTCAAATATTTTTCGGGGTTGTACAAGCGTGCAAAGTTTTAAAAAATGTAACACTTGGGTAGTCTTGCAAGATTTGATTCTTAATTCAATGTAAAATTAACATTAAGCGTATATGTTACTATTTTCGCAACACCTTTTGAATATTTCACAAAATCAACCAAAACGTGTAACATCGACATTTCTCAAAAGTTATTTCAACTAATCTAATTTGTAACTATTCGTACAGTTTACTTATCCCGGCTGTTTTTATAACATCACACGTAAGGTTGAAAGAACATAAATGTGAAGTATAGTGTTGATTAATTAACATTGATAATTTGTAAAAATGTAACACACTCGATAAATGTTATTTTAACTTAAAATTTTGAGTGGACTTTTTGGGACATGTAAAAATATTAACATTAACATTTTATTTTTTACTATGTAGAAAGATTTGGGAACGATCGAGTCTGTCGAGAGTTCGACATTACAGACCAACTTGCCGAAGGTTGTCCGTTACGTAATGTAAAATACGTAGACCTCGTACTGTCGATATCTTTATCAATAGATCGGAACGCCGGTTGGTCACACTTTGCGATAAGACCCCGTTTTCGTGTTGTAACGAGATGGCCTGTCAACTCTAATACCTATCGATTCAAATGCCAAATTATCAATCGCGTAAAATGTAGAAAATCTAACAAAGAACAATCGCGCGAGACATGCCCACAGGCCTTACGTAATTGCAAGTACATCTTGTTACGTGGAAATCGTACGATGAACCTATTTATAGCTTTCTTCGATCGAGAAAAGTGTAATTGATATTATGTACTGATAAGCGCACTCTCGATACACTGCATTCCTCGGATACTTATGATATATCGAAGAAGCAATTGTGTATCTTATTGAAAGTAATTTACAAGTTCAGATTTCACGCGCGCACTCATTGCCGCCTCCATGCGGCAGATAACGTATCGCCAAGAATATTTTCCTTTTCCAATGAAAAAAAATTATATCGTATCGCGATAAACGACGGAGATGAAATCATAAAGAGGCGTTTAATCTCGCTAGACGTGTAACGCGACGACAGATGACAGTGACATCGCGCTATTGTTCACGAATGATTGATAAAGAACGACACAGAGAGTACGAACGGATAAAATGTAACAGCGTATGAATTACACTTGCACAAGGTGATATGATATTACATTGGTCGCACGGCAAATTTTTCAAGCGTGTCGATTAGTTGCAGAATAGAAAAGTTCTTGAGTGTTTAGAAAGTTTCTATTCTAAAGCAACGAAGATTACAACGCGCGGATCCAAACGTTTAAAAATACGTCAGGTAGTCCGAATCTTGAGAGTTCCTTTCCAAGAAATGTAAGAAGATTTCGAGAAGATGGAATCTTCAAAAATATATAAAATAGCATTGAATCGGCTGAACAAAGAGATATGTACATTGCCTTCACTTTTCGTGAAAAAATTAGCGCGCTTTTTCCGCGGACAACCCGATGTAATATTTAATTGGGATTCTTTGCGGATAAAGTTGTTTTCCTATTATTATTATTGGAATGATTGGCAAGATAAAATTTGTTCTTGCAACGTGGCGCGATGAATCGATTCGAGTAGATCCGTTCGCGAATTTCTGTTAGGATATACACGCGCGATATCGAGGAGCAATATTCAATGTCTTGTGATAAGCAATGCTATATTCTATTCTTTTCCACCGTAAAATGCAACATTATTTCCGTAGCAATTAGACGGGAATTATTTCCTCGTGCACAAGCAAAACTCGTTTCTCATGGGCAATTGATTACAGAAACGCATTTCTTGGAAAGATCTTCGGTCGCAGTGTGTGTATCCTGGAGCGAGTATTCAAAGTAAATTAAAACTTCATTTACTTTGAATACTCGACTCAGGCATCCTTCTTAAGCCCGACGACTCGAGTTTGCACATAAGCGCGCACGTATTTGACGAAGCGATTTTCAGGTACATGCTACATCCGGAGGAAAGCAGCGAAGATGAGTATTATTTATTGATGAACGGCTCCATCTTTGCGCCGCGAATCGATCATGTACCAATTATGCTGATGCCCGGCAAGGATTACTGCATGGAGGTTGTGCCCGAGATGGGACTTAGGGCACTCGTTTGTTTTCAAGGTTCGTGGGGACTGGTTTGAAAGAAAATCCTCTCGATCTTTCCCTAACTGTTATCCATATCTTTGATCCTTCGTACGAAACGTTTCATCTTCATCGACAATTCTTCCGAGTTCTGCTGAATTTCACCTCAAGAAAACAGTTGTATAACGAATCGTTTGTATAAAAGATTCGCGTATCACGAAACTTGGACAATTCCTTGACATCTTATTTCTGTTTTAAGTCTCTTCGCACTTAAGTCTTAATGGAATGCAACGATTGCAGACATCGCCGCCCCAACCGCGGATGCGCGGGTCATCATTTACGCCTGCGGGCTGCTGATCTCAGTTCCCTTTCTGATACTCACAATTGCGGCATACGTGATAACGCCGAGATTGAGGGACGTCCACGGGAAAGCCCTTTGCCACTATTGCGGCTGCTTGGCACTGGCCTTCACCACTTTGGCCCTTACGCAACTCGCAAGCGCGCAATTATCACCTCAAGCTTGCGTTAGCATAGGTAAGATAATTAATTATCAACGAGAAACACGTTGCAAGTGCGACACCGTTAGATAAAAATACAGTATAACGGTGTAAATTTTTAGACATTGTGATTTGTGAAAAATCTAGCACAAAAATCTGAATTTCTTTTGCTGCCTGAACGTTTGATCTAATATTTCAATCAAACTTATTACAAGAAGATCGTGGCGAAAATTTGACGCTGGTAACAAGTTGTGATGATTAATTTTCAAGTAGTAGCCTGTGTATAACTTGAGTATTGAACTTTGGACTGTCACTTTTACCGAGCGGTATACAATTTCGGCGGCGTCGCGTCGTGTCGGTTCGCGGCAGGTTTGCTTTAGGAAGTATGACGACACGCGAATGACAGGCAGATTGATTGAGAGGCTGCGGCCGGCATTCGTCGTTTTCAGCATTCGTCATCCAATTCTCATTTGTGGCCTGCTTCTTCTGGCTGAACGTGATGTGCATCGAAACGTGGCTGCTGGTACGCCATCACGTGAACCAGCGCGCGTACAGGAGAATCCAGCCTCAACTACTGTTTTTCTACTACTCGATATGGGCCTGGGGCTTTCCAGCGGCCCTCATTCTCGTCTCGATGGCGATGGATCTCAGTCCTACGATACCCATGACCTACGTCAAGCCCGCTTTCGGTAGCGAGAGCTGCTGGTTCAAGTGTGAGTCTCTATCACTGCGTCTCATTGCCACAAATACCAAAGAAGCTGCACAAATATATTTTCCCGCAGTCAGATAAAATAGATACGCTTTCGATTCGATCTTCGTCCAAATGGTTCCAACAATTCCCATCGTCGCGATGAAAACTCATTGTAATTCGAGCCTTCCGCATTCGCTTAATCTCTTGACCAATATCCGGGCAGGTCGGAGTATTAATTATTACCGCTCTGCCTGCAGCCGACGTGGAAGCCCTGCCGTACTTCTACGTGCCGGTCGGCCTCCTCCTACTGGTGAACATGATCCTCTTCATAATCACCGCCGTCAGGATCAGCCGGTACCAGCAAGAGCTCGCGCTGAGACGCCTGGCGAGGAACCAGCATTCCGATCGGGCGGATCAAAGGCTCTTCCGCAGACTCAAGCGAATCTTCATCGTCTGCCTTGTACTCTTCTTTCTCATGGGTCTCAACTGGATGATGGAATTAATCTCCTGGGGGGTCGGCGGCGACCCTTTCGACTGGACGGCGTTCGATTTGGTAAACGCGCTTCAGGGTGTCCTCGTCTTCGGCCTGTTCGTCCTGAGGAGGCCCATCAGGGACATCGTTTGGCATCGAATACAGAAGATACGGGGAATAGACACCATGGAAGTGGACGTCGGAAGCATGGACCTGGCGCTACTGCCTGTGATAAACGGCGATATCGCATTTAACAGATCAGACAGATCGTTCAATAATTCTTAGAAGTCTTTCGAGAGAGATCTCTTCTCCGCTGAATAGGAAAAGGACGGTGCATTTAACGCAGGCGGTTGGCCGAAGTGATATCAGCCGTGAATTCGCAGCGATCGATAAACCGATGAACCGATGGACCGGCGGAAGAAAGGCGCCGGGATCTCACGACGTCGACGCAAGTTATTTTAACTTCGCTGTGTGCAAACAAAGCGGCCTTCTCGACCGGTGACGCTCATCAAGAGACTTGAAATGTATTATTCATGCAATTTTGTTGCGAACCACTCGAGAACTCCACTCGAGCCGGCACGAAATTAGTTCGCGAGACCCGACACTTTCGCTGGAAGGAGATTATTTATACTTAATTAAATCGCAATCGCGCGTTAAGTAATAGTTCTAGTCTTCGTTTTTTGCAATATATTTGTAATTCGTAAATATCAATGCGTGTGTCGAGATGCGCGCAGCGTGTTTTAATTCCGAGCAAAGTGCATCCACAGAGAGGGAACGTACAGCGTGACTTCGCGCGCGTCGAGTCGCGGTTAAATTGCGACGTTGTGTGAAAATACATTTTTTTTTCTGCAAGGTAACGTGTTACACAACGTATAATTCGTCCGGCCCCGCGAAATATAGCGCATGCTATGTCGCGACGTTTCTGCGTTAATTATACGACCGTAGGGAAACGGGGAACGGATGGACCTCGCTCAAGGATCTCAAGTGATAAGAGCGCAATCGCGGCGCAATTGAAAGTGTGAGAAGCGGCTGTAATCGATGTTCATCAAAAGCGCGGCTACTTGTTAGTAATAACTATGCGTCATAAGTCGGGCTGTTACGACGATATCTGTAGTGCTTCAATTTACGCCGTAAAATCGATGTTCACATTGATAATGTATCATTTATACCTTTATACCTTACGCGTCGTGCTTACTGTTGAACGACATAACAGTATGGTACAATAACAACGTTATGCAAAGCCTTTATTTCGCGAATCCGGCATGACGTGTTATGTTAATGCATTACAAATAAGTTACGGCCAAACAGAAGTGCAGGATATTGAATAGGGTAATACATCAGAACGCGTTTGTACACAACTGTGAGTTCGCCGCAACGCATCAATATCGCGTATTATGCTGGATTTCATGAAAAACAGGTTCTACACAATATTGTTGTTGTATCGTGTTATTGTGTTCTGTATGTAGCTAGTATATTATTTATTCTCGTAGTAGGCATTAATTTATTGACTAAATCATGCATAATATAGACCCGTAGAGCAAAATGAGTCGAGATGAATAAAAAATATTAATATCCTTTATTCTTGCGTTCCCTTTGAAACCATAGTTGTATTTGTTCGTTTACTTTGTTCCAACGGCGCGCTATACATATATATGTATGTGTATATAACAAACATGGTTTTTATAATAACAAGCGTACCTTGCCAGAATCCAAATTTTCTGCGAAAAATTATGCTAAGAAAATAGTCATGATGTACAAAAACCGTGAGCGCACTCGTCACAGCCCATTAACGCTCGAGAGGCAGGAAAACTGGTCGCACACCTATCCTATTCTCTAATAACGGCGGGCGTTAATGGCTCGAGGAAGATCTCGCGTGCAGAAAAACGTGACGGTGCACTCACTGCAAGCTCTATCTAAAGCGGACGTTAAATACGCCGCGGCGCACCCCAAGCGGCAGCCCGAGAGTGCGAAAACCAGGTACCAAAAGTAACATTTAAATATTTTAAATCCTACATGCAAAGCATCGGCTGTTCTTTTCGCGATGCTTCTAATTTATAAACTTACCACACCCTACCAAAAGCACCCTTTGATTAAAGGCCATATTTTTTTTTTGATTCACTTTCCTACTCACAACTTTGAGTAATAAACCTATTTCACCCTATTTAAAATATTATTTGCAGAAAAGATTGTGAGAGAGAGAGATATGACAAAATAGGAAAATCAAGTCGAGGAAATATTTTTGTTCCTCTAGGAAATTGCACAAAGTTTGATATTTAGTCATTTAACAAGACGATTACCGATCACGCGCAAGCTTTTTTTTTAAGTAAATTGATACTTCGCTATAAAATTTATGTAGATGAAACGCACTGTTCGATTGATCTACGAGGACCCGAAAATTCCGGACTCACGCCCAAGATCTCCACAAGATCTCCTCTTTGAGCTACGTACACCAAGCAATACATTTCTGACAGACGAAGCGCCGAGTCATTGTACGATATTCGTTCCGTGTTCGCGTGAGGCTCGTCAGAAACTGATGTTGGTTTACCTAGATATTAAGTAATTAATAGAACATTTCAACAGCAACAATGATACCAAATGACATCAGGAACGAATGCAATGAAACGAGAAACTTACCGCGGCTAACATATTCGTAAATGATGTAATCATCTAAACTGGAGAATTCGTTAGAAAAGAGACCTATCCAGTCTCCGTTGCCCGGGGTGAAATCTCTCTGCAGTTTGTAAGATATAAAATTTTCCTCTACAGTACAATCTTGAAATTCCACACTGTGATCTTCTACATTAGGTCTGACCTAAAAAAAATAATTTTTTTTTGGTCATTTACATGTAGCATGATCTAAGAATGGTATGCCGCAAGACTGTATTTTTACCACGATATCGAATTCTCCAGTTACAGGTTTGTGGTCCGAAACACTGTATTCGGGATGACTCTTGTAAGTATGCTGCTCAGCGTGAATTTCTATGTCGTCGTATATGTCTACCGCATTTACCTTGTACAAAATCCTGTCAGTCCAAGACGGTCTGCGCCTGCGTAAAATAAATAATTACACGTATAATAAAGCAGAACGTTTTCATTTACATTTTTCATGCGTGCAAATGTATGCCTCATATTTAATCGTTATACTTTCGCATTTATATTATAATTTACTTGAGATCAAATTCCTGGGACTCGAACTCGTATTTGTAAGTAGGCGGGAACGCGATGCTACTTTCATTTAGTTCGGCGAAAGCTTGCTGCTCCTTCATCACCGCCCTCAGCTGATCTCTCTCGAGAAGTTCCCCCAATTGATTTCGCTTCACTAGTAACTCGATGTCGACGGCGCTTAACTCCTCTCCGTTGAGCCGAAAGTTTAAGTCACCGATCCAAAATATGTAACTAACAAGGAGCGTTTATATATTTATTACACGTTACTGAGAACGTAGCTGGTACTAAGTTCAGCATAAAAACACTCGTACTCGTGATATAATATTCTCGATGTAAACGGAGCGGTAAAAGTATGATCTGTCACGATGGTATTGTAATCTGCTATTCTATCGGCTAGCAGGTGGTCGTGGGGAGTCAAATGCGTGTTCACCACGCAAACGCTGATTCCGTAGGCGTTCATTCTTACGCTCACCGCACCCTTGTTTCCCTGAGGAGCGACGTGTCGTTAGTAAAACGGCGATTGCCGTTGCCACACTGCCTTCTTACCCACATGCCACCGAGACCCGTCTTGGTGTACTGAGTCTCTATCAGCCTCAAGTGCGTCAAGTGCTTCCTCAGACAGAAAGCATTCAGAACAAGACCCTGTAGTCGTTGCGAGCGAATCTTCACGTAATCATACTTCTTCAGCACGTCTCTGCAAACGTGTCGGGACTTAATTTTCGCCCCCCCAAACGAATACAATTACAGACTCCCGAATACAAGCCGCGCAATCTTGGCGGACTTACCTGAAGGCCCTGGTCCACGGATCCTCGTACAGTATATAGTCCAATACTATATTTTGCGGTTGCGATTTAACTTCCTGTAAACTGAAAGAACACACGCGCCTTATCGCCGGGTCTGATACACGCGGGGAAACGCCGTAGAACGTACCCGATGAAATACAAGTCTGGCCACAGCTTGGACTCGTCGCCAGGTGTAATGCCCAGGAGCTGCTCGAGATCCTGCCTGGGATCCGGGAACTTTGTGGCCACATTATACGTGACGAAGTAGACTCTATTTGCGTAGAGGAACGAGTTAAAATAGACACGTGCGGTGACGGACAGAAGATGGTTGCGACGCTCGTGTTTAAAGTGAGTTTAGGAACGCGCATTCTCAGGGTTTCAAAATCTTCTCCGAGGAATATTTTACACGACGGCCATTCCGAAACCACTCTGGGCGTTTTCGATCTGTTCCTCGAGCAGAAGTTCCCTCCGAGAAAAGGTTTTGGAGCGCAAACCTGGGGGTCCAAATGCTGTGTCTGACGAAAGTGAGTATTTTTGCCTCTTTCCAATTGTCCCCTTGGAAAGAGCTGAAGCCGCTGCTCGTTTTCAGCTACTTTCGCTACATTGCAAGATGCAGAATTGACGGCCCGAATCTAAGTGCACGTTCGTAGACTCGTTGAAAAACCGTGTCGCAACCATTCTGCCCATCACTGTGCGCCCTCCGCGGGACATAACCTACGACACGCGTCCAGGTCCACGGTCACGTCTCCTCGACTTACCTGAGCCGTTCCACCGGACACGCCATTTCGGGGGGAGGGGGGGGAGGGGGCACCGCTCGATGACACGGGAGGGACAGAGGATTCTACGAGGAATTCACGTGGCTCGCGTAGGGAGAAGCGGACTCACATCGCGGTGGCACCGCGCAGCGCTGAACAGGTTAGGAACTCGCGCGCATCGCGTTACCGCTCCTCGTGCCCGCGTCCGCGGTTATGCCGGCCGCGAGGGAACCGTCGCACCGCCGGCGCGTGTCGTCGCGTTTGCTGCCGCCAGCAACATCTGGTCAGTGGTCACGCGATCACTCCGTATGGCGATGCCGTCGTACTACGGAGCCATGTTGTTGACAAGTGCGGAAGGGGGGGGGGGGAAATAGCTTTTCTCTCCGCCGCGTTCCACGTGACATCTGTCATTGGGCGAGTGCACCGCGGCCGCAGAGCTCTGCGCGCGCGCGCCGCTCCGATCGATCGCGATCGAGCGCGTCCACGATTTTCCTCGTCATCGCGATCTCTGACCCGCTTCTCGTCGCGCGTAAGGTAGGACGCCGCGTCAGCTGACGATGACGGGGCCTCCCGCGAATATCCGGGCTGACTCGCCGGTCGATTGGCTCTCCGATCGACTCGATCGGCGATCGACTCGCCGAGCAATACCTGTACGGGAATTCTGTAAGTTGCAATCGACGCCCTTTTGCACTTAAAACTGTCCGTTTCGTGGAAACATTTGGGTAATATACAAATTAAATGGCTCACGTGTACAGATCGAAAGCAACTTGCTATTCCGGCTAAATTAAAGAACAATATGGCATCACTGAAACTAAGTTTGTAAGTTTGTGAGCAACACACACATACCACATGTACTGTATGTGTGTGTTGCTCACTATTATTTCTTGTTAGACTTACAAACTTGGTTTCAGTGATGCCATATTGTTCTTTCATTTAGCCGGAATAGCAAGCTGCTTTCGATCTGTACACGTAAGTCATTTAATTTGTATATTACACAAGTGTTTCCGCGAACTGATAGTTTCTAGATTAGAAAGGTGCAAAAGTGCAGAATCGCTCCAGCATCCCCTTAACTAGCGACAGCCAATGGCGAGAACGATCTTCGAGAAAGGCGCAGATTTTCATTGGCCGCTCCTAGTTAACGTTATCGAAAAATCTCGATAGCAAGTTACAGAATCCCCGTACTGTCTTGTTAGCGCGCGTAGAATCGTTAACTTCTTGACGGACGGAGAGAGGGACCGGGGACGGCAAATTATAGGCGATTTCGATCGAATCGATCGCCGGTTGGACTAATCGCGGAGTCCAAGTCGTCCGCGACGAGTCGGCTTCTCGCCCTCCGTCTCTTCTTAAATAATAAGATGGAAAAAGATAGGGGAGTCGACCGAACTCCAGTCAACAGTTAACCGATGTTTGTGAAACTGGCCCGAACTGTTTGCAAAATGTTATTGTCGGTCGAGAATTAACCAGGTGTTTGCAACGTACTTCCAAACCCTGGTGAAAATAAAAATTGGAGGGTAAATCGAATGTAAGGAGAGAGTGACAGAAGCGTAAACGAAAAGTGTGGGAAGCGCAATTTGAGACAGCGAAGCGTAAAAGAAACTTCAACGCTGCTTTTACGCTTTGCTGTTCCAAATTACGCTTCCTACATTTCGTTTGCGCTTCTGTCACTCTCCCCTTACACTCGATTTACGCTCCAAATTCTATTTTCACCAGGGAACGACGTAACCATCAGCAAAACTCTTCACAAACAACGTAACTGTCGATAAAACTCTCCGTAAATAAATATAAACGTCGTCCCTCGCTTAAAATTTTCCATACCAGGGTCCTATCTCGTAACAGAGGACCTTCCTCTATTTATAAATCTTGAAAATATTTCGCACATATCTTACAAATATCGTGCGCCGCGCGGGCAAGCCGGCGTGTCGTCGGGGGAGAGCGCGTCCGCGCGCGAGCAGTCGAAGACGAGTGGGAAATGACGTTTCTCGCATATAAAAAATGAAATCTGTCGTAACATTTATTGCGTTACTCCGGAGGCGCGCGCGCGCGCGCGCGCCTTCCAGCTCGAATCCCTCGCGTATCGGTGATTCGCAGCACGCAGGCTCACATTCATCGCTCGCGGCGATCCGCAATTGATCGCGCGCATACACGCGTCTCTCCGGCGGGATACTCCCGGCCGGACGAACGTCCGGAGCTACGAGCAAGTACGTAGAGAATCGTTCACCGAGTTCTCTGATAACGACGATTATTTACAGTGACGAGAGATCAACAATCAGCGGCCCGTAATCTAATCTCGTAGACGCGACGCGCACACACGGGGCCCCTGCGGTCGTCGAGGAGCGTCCGCCTCAGTACATCATCCCGGGATGGGCAGCCCTTTGGAAGAACACGTTGGGATTGGCCGACAAGGTCGTGTAGAGATTCCCGGCATCCTCCGGCCTCAGGTACATACCGGGTGGCAAAACGAATGTCTCCATCGGTCCATGCACATCTGGAAACAGAGGGAGAGGAAGACGTGTTTATACGTTTCGCTCGATAGCGCGCATTTGCTGCGGGACGATTCATTTGCTAAAGAGAGAATCGGGACCGCGCGCGGAAAACTGGAGCGAACCGCGCCCCCCTGTGCACCACCTCAATTTGCAGCCACGGGAAATACTTTTATTACTCGGTATCGAACGGAGAGGCGCATCCGGTCGTGACTTTCCACGCCGTCTGGTCATCTTTGGTCGCGCGATTAACGATTGGATATTACGGTATATCGAGATACGGGGGGGGAATCGAAATCGCGTTGCGCGCAACCGGGACGAGGGCCCTCGTTACGCCGCGCGCGTTAAGCGCGACTGTAATTTCAAGTCGTCGGGCCTCAAGTAGGTCTCGTCGTTCGCAGCTGTCGTTACAAGGCGATTACGCGTGTTCGTCTTCGCCTTGACACGTGTAGCCTAATCTTTAATTAAACTGCACTCTCGATGCTGTACGCGCCTAACGCATTTTTTTTTACGAAGAATTGAAGAGACCTTTCTTGGCAGAAATGTGACAAATTTGCGGATACAATGTCCCTTCTCTGACGAGTCCTTCAATTGACGTTGCAGCCTTTGTTTTCTTCTACACGGAGAAAATATCGTAGAGCAGGAGAGAGAGAGAGAGAGAGAATTATAGATATAAGAAATCTTTTTATACCTATAATCGTTTTTTATATCGTTTTGTTGGAATAGAATGACATAACATCTATTACTACGAGCAATAAATAATTAGTATAATGGCAATCGTTCAATTATATATGTATGTAACCAACTGAGCAATAAATAATTAATATAATGACAATCATTCAATTATACATGTAATAAATTGAGCAATAAAATAATTAATATAATGATACTCATTGTACACATATTCTTGATTACAGCAGCTAACATAAGTTTCAATACATAATATAAAAGACCATACAATTATTTTAAATTACGCTGCACAAAGGAGACTACGCGGAGAGAATTTTCTCTAAAAATTCACCATGAAAATCCTGTGATCGCGGGACAACGTGGTATTTCGAGGAACTTTGCGAGAGCTTCCTGAAATTTCTCTATACATTCTACTAGTAAAATGTATACTAAGTTTTAATTATTAGTAAAATGTGTATGGTAAAATTTCAAAAAGCTCCCATAAGATTCTACAAAATGCCATGTTGTCCCTCGATTACATGATTTTCAGGAAGGAAAAATTCTCTCCGCGTATACGCGTGAAAAGTTGTAATATCCATACAATGCTTATACGTTCTAATTAGATAATTTGTTGTTAAAATTGCTCTGCTGCTCTCGTAATTTATTCTCTCTCTTTACACTCGCGGATTATAAGATCTCTCTCTCTTTCTCTCTCGCCTTAGTGAAATCTAGTTATAAATGGTACATTGAGATAATTTGAACAATTACAACAATCCTCGCAACGTGAAACGGTAGACATGAAATAAGACATATCCCAGTTCCCGTTGTGATATCGCATTATTCCAGAATGGCAAGAATTTCGCCGCCATTTCTCTCCTATTCTGGGGGGAAAAAAGACAGCAACCCACTTTGGGGCCCACAATTAGCAATTGAATTATTTGAATTCTTCGTAACTCTACTCTGGGAAAAATTTTGACCGTTTTTTTTTGTAGTTAAGCAACTTAACATTTAGATTAGTGTCTCTTGAGTGAAAATTATCTTTGCGTTACTGAATGTCGGCAGAACTAATTGAGAGACTTGATTAGCATTACTTTAAAATCTTGGATATACTATGCGATTTTTAGTTACGCGGGGTAAAAGTCGTAAAGGATTAGAGTTAAGGCCATTCTACAATTGCGTAAACGTAGTTGTAGGGTTGTAGGAGTAGAAATAGTAGTAAATGTTGTACATCAAAGTAATATACAATAGAGTGAGATACGTCGTAATTGAAATGAATGATTAGTTAGCTTTTACGTCCTGTATCGTTGTAGTCGTGGAAGATCAAGTTCAGCCATCTTTTACAACAGGCTTTACAATCGGAAATGCTAGTTTAAAACTGTGTTTTACAACACTGTACAACCGCTAACAACCACGTTTACGCAATTGTAGAATAGCCTTTACGAACAATCCAAACAATTCGATTACTAATTGTGGGCCCCAAAACGGGTTGCAAACTGTCTTTTTTTCCCCCAGAGTAGGATATTCTTTTCGCAGTCGTCGGGCTACGCGCCACGGACTGGCGATAAAGGAAGCTTCTGTCAGCGAGATGTCGCGGCCTCGCGTAACGAGGGTCGCGAACCAGCTCGGCTGGTCCGAGGAGGCTAGCGACCTTCGCCTCGCTCGTAATCTCTCGCATATTTCACGCCTTGCTCGCAATAACGAGGCTCGCGCGAGGAGCCGCAGAAGAAATCCGTATCGCGGTATCGGGGGACGCGCCTGCCGACGGAGCGACGTGTCCGCGCGGAAATTTCCTCGCTCTTGCCGAGAAGAACAGGGTCGTCGTGTCGAATCCGCGCGGGCGAAAGTGCGCGTGTTTCTCGATTTCTCGAGGATACGACGCGAGGATCCTCGCGCGCGCGCGCGCACACGCGCGCGATGCCGACGTGCACGCTCGTTACAAAGTGTGCTACGTCGTTCCCCGCTCAATGGACACGAGCAGCGCCGGGCTCTTTAACGTAAATGCGTATCGCGCGTGGGTGAAAGTCATCCAGCTGTGATTTACGATCCGGCTATGATCTACGTCGTCGCGCATCGTATGCGAAACGATCGCAATTCCCCCGACGATTTGCATCGACGAAGGGATTCTCTCTCCCTCTCTTTCTCTTTCTCTCCCCGCGATCTTACCTTTCTCTTTTTTTTCTCTCTCTCTTAATTGTTTTTCCGCTCCCGCCTCGCGCGGTCCGTAACACGTTGAGTAACGGGCGCGACCCCGTTACAATGGCGCGTTCCCTTCGAATAGAGCTGAATAGGATCTAGAAACTCGTAACGCGCGCGCTTTTCCATTATGTGTCTCTAGAAAGTGTGAAACTCCCGCTTACAGCATTGTTGTTCTCTCCGAAGGGAAATACATCTGGGAAACTCGGCTTCTCGGACGAGGGAAAGACGAGGAAAGCCCCGCCGCTGGTGTCCGGAGCGTGCCTCGAGATCCGCTCGCGAGGCCTTTTCATTCCGTTTCAGCGGCGCGGATCTTTGTCACCGCGATTAGCGTCGCCGTTTCACGAGGGCATGGTCCACGGTGTAACGGGATTCATTCTCCCTTCCACGTTCCGCCCTCCCCCTCCTTCTCGTCTCGTATCGCCAGCGTCGCGAGGCAAGAAGCGATTGACCTCCGCCACGGACTTTCTCCCCCTCCGCCCTTTCTCCGCCGCCCCGCGCGCACCCCGTCTCTCCCACCCTCCCGCGCGCACGGTTTTCCGCCCCTTCGTTCGTTCTCGCAGCTCGAGGTGAAGGTCGCCGAGGGCGTTAGCGTGACGGAGGAAAAGTTTTGGGCCAGGGCAGGAAGTGCCGAGATTCCGCGGACGATACCGGCGTACAGCGAGCGCGCTCGGTGGAGGAACACGTGTGTTTAAGCAAATCTCTCTCGGCCGAGGATTAAAAGCTTTGCGCAGAGCGACGCGTCGTCCTCGAAAGAGTGGGAACAAGTGTCCATAGGCAAGTCGCCCCATTTTTTTCCCCGTTCGATTTTGGTCCCAAAGTAGGTATCCGAACGAAAGGTCTCGTCAAGCTGATTACAGAGACGTCAGTCTCAGAGAGTACTTATTTAACGTTCCAGAGATATCGGGCTCCAAAAATTCCAAAATCAAGTTGGAGTCGACTAAAAGGTTTCCCCAATGGGTTTTTCTAAAAAAATCACTTGATCCACCTAAAGCTTACTTAGGTTCGTAGAAAATGCAGGACGACGTCATTAGCATCGACCATTGGGAAACCTTTTAGTCGACTCCAACTCAGTTACAGTTACTTCTTTTTGTAACTTTAACTTAACTTCGTTACTCTCTCACCATATGTAACTGTAACTTAATTCAGTTACATGTTTTCGTTAGCTAGTAACTAATTGAATAGTTACATTAATAGTTACTTTATATATTCTTTAAACCTCCACAGATCGCATTGGGCCTTGCATTTGCGCATAAACGCCTTTATCGACACTTAACAATTCAAATGCAGATCAATGCAGATTTGATATTTTTCTTTTCATCGCAGGAAAGTAGGTAACTGTAAAGTAACGATTCGTTAAGGATTCGTTAAGATTAAAAAATTAAAAAATTAACAGAGTATTAGTGTGATCATTTAGCATATCCATATTATGTTAAATTAACACAAAAATTTGTGTGGACCGTTTGGGACATGTGATATCTGTTAAATTTAACACAAATTTTTCAACTGCGTGCGGAACGTCACGTGATCGAAACCGAAAAGATCAAAGGACCGACAGAGAGTGGGTATACTAGTATACTATGAGTACAACTACACAGTACGCGCACACACACACACACACACACATACGTCGCTGGATTGCTGCCCAGAATAATGGCGGAATACCGCGTGATCGGGACCGCAAGGATCAAAGGGGCCGACAGAGAGTGAACCTACTACCATGGTGCAAGCAAGCGAATTCGCTATAAGACTGTTAATTACTACGTATCACATTCGGATCGAATGGCGCCTTTGTCGGTGCCCCGTCACCCTCTCGCGCTGTTGCGTGACGCGAAGGACACCGACCGCGTGCCGGAAACCGGCGAAAATGCCCACGTCCCGGGGTCTTTGCGCCGCCACGATACGTCACGGCGCGCAACAGGGTGGTTTCGTATACGGCATACGTAGTAACGATCGGCCGACTGCGATTCTGAAAATAAATAATGACGGCTTACCGTCCGAGTATATGGGACTTCCTCCGTGCCTGCAGGCGCTGCATCCGGGTATCCCGGACGAGACCAGTGCGACTCGATCTATAATTAGAAGTTTCCACGTTATGATAATCTCGGGGCGGAGGGCGGGGAGGTACGGGAGGGAACGATTACGCCAATTACGATGCCATTACCATCTTCTCTAGGGAGTCTTGGGCCGATTGCCGGTTAATTACCCTCGATTTCAGCTCGGCAGCTCTATCCCGCGATTTACGGAGGGACAGCGGGATCGCCGATTTCAGCGATTTCCGTTTATAACTTAATTCCCGAGGGACTCTAATTTTTTTTCCCTTCCTTTTAATAAAAATACGCGTCCCGTTTATTTACTTTCTCGGTTTACCCATTCATTCGCGTTTCACGCGCCGCCGATCCCGCCGGTCGTGACCGCACTTCCGTTATTCGGCGCGCGATTACGTTGTCCGCACTTTTAGCGGCTACCGCGCGATGACCTAAAGATCTACCCTGCGGGTATCGAACAAACGAATCGGAACGAGGAACGTTGCGCGCTGCAGCGCCGAGAGGTGTAATCGCGAAACGTGCGTGCGCGGCGAGAGAAACTTGGATATTCGAATGAGCAAAGAAGGAAAGAGAGAGAGAGAGAGAGAGATCGTCGCGATAATATTGTTGCGCGTCTTAACTGTTGAACGCATTCATTATTGTGAACGGCTTTATTCTCGCTGTTTATTTAAAAGGGCTCGACGACCTACCGGCACTGTGGTAATGCATCTTTCTCTTCAGGGACGCCTCCGCGGGCTTGAAGTGAAAGAAGGAGGGCGAGTAGCCGCTGCCGGGGAGGGAGCTGAGGGCGTCGTCGCGATCGCGAATGACCGCGGCGGGCCCTTCGCGGCCCAGGGCGGCCAGCTGGCGTCCCTTCGGCAGAAACATCGTGAGGAAGACGAAGAGCGACGTGGCGAGCAGGCCGTAGGCCAGCCAGGCCTCCCGGTCGCCCTCGCTGCCGGCCGCGAGCGTGCCGATCCCGCTGGAGATCCAGATCGGCAGCGAGAGGCCGACCGCCAGGCCGATGAAGGCCGCCTCCCGATTATTGTCCCGGACACCTCGCGCACGGACCGCTAGACATGCCACTGCCACCAATAGCGCCCCGGGATACCTGGAATCCGCGTGAGGACCGTGGAAAGGAGTTTCGTTTACCCCTAGCCAAGGTATCGTTACAAACTCTCTAAGAGTCCACCGGTGGATTATCACTGAAAACAGTGAATAGTCACTGATTTGCCAGTTATAACCCAAACAACACGTATGTCTGAAACACGTCTCTAAGACGTCTTCAAGTCGTCTTTTAGATACGTAGAGGAAAGTCCTCTATTACGAGATAGGTTTCTAATACGAAATAGAGCAGATTTTTCAACACCCAAATTCAATCATAAATCTTTTTTCGCCACGATTACGCGGTCTAACAATGAATTTTCTACTAAACAGATTTCACTCCGAGGGCAATAAATTCATGGTGGAATCAACACATAATGCCCGTTAATTTAACAGAAATTCCTTTATCTCATATAAGGAGTACTTTCCTCTATGTCGATGAGAAGTTAGTCGGTTCTCCTTCTTTTTCTATGTTGTTATCGGAGAAGAGACGGAGAGTCGACTAATCTCTGGTTAACAATTAACCAGAAAATGAAAAACCGGGCCTTAAAAAGACGTCTTAAAGATGTCTTTTAGACATGCCGTGCCGTATGGGAAGTATACCACTGAAAATCGCAGCGGTGTGCCTAAAACTGTAAATCAGTGACTACTTACTGTTCTCAGTAATCCACTGATTGACTCTTAGAGAGGCACCCAGTTAGCCAAATCTGTCAGAACAGATTTCATCAAATGCCCACTAGAAATTTTAAAGGCAGAAAGACTACAGATTGCAGGAACTGATGTATTCGATGCCAGCACGCCAGCAGAAATACAACAAAATCTGCTCACGTAACTGGACCCGCTCGGTTTCTGCCCGACAATCTGTTGACAGCGTACTCTCTAAAAATCAATCAGTGGATTAACACTGAAATCAGCGAATAGTCGTTGATTTGCAGTCCCAAGTGTACCACTGAAAATCGCAGTGGTATACTTACTGCTTTCAGTGATAATCCACTGATTGACTTTTAGAGAGTACGTTTTACTCCGTTGCCGAAACAAAAGCCGAACGCGGACACAGATGGCTATGGTTTTCGTGTGGGTTTCTGACGAATCTGCTACCAATCTTGTGCCAATCTGCTAACATTTCGCTGACTGGGAGGCTATCATCGCTGCTGATCATTCTTGAGAATGATAATCAACTCGAACAATTTCGACCAAAGGGTAAAAGATAAAAAATAAACAGAACAACAGCGGAAGACTGTTAAACGGTGCAAATTAAATAAGATTATCAAATAGCATTTCTCGCGACTCCGCTGGGGTAGATGGGCGCGAACGATTCGACTCGCTCCTCGCCGCGAATTGGGGGAGGGAGGGACTTTAACAGCCGCAAAAGTTTACCCGAGGGAAGCCACTATCTGTCCGAGCGGGGTCCTGCAGGAGGTGATGGACGCTGGCGAGCTTTGGCCCGTCGCTTGTTGCTGCTGCTGCTGCTGCTGCTGCTGCTGCTGCACCTGGATCACCGCAGGTGGTTCGCCGTAAAACCATTGCCCGACAATGGCCACCTGCACCAACACCGCGAACACCAGCACCAGCGCCTGCAGCATCGAGAACCGAGACAAGAAAGGCCCTCGCACGATTACACTTCCCCTCTATAAGATTCACGCGGCCGTCTACCCCTGGTCGATCGCCTTTAATTAAAGGTGAACGGCCTGCGGTGACATCGGCACCGCCGGCGTGCATTCTTTTAAGCGCGTGACGTCAAACGCGCGTGACATATGAGAAATAGAACGGCCTTACTCGCGCGCGGGGGTACGCGCGGAAAATTTCCACGTGTTTCAGCGCGCGCGCGCGTTTCCTCGCTGGAAATTTAATCTCCGCTCTCGTACATCCTCTCCGTCTTAAGGACACGAGAAGATTGCGTCTACAAGGGCTGTAATTACATCGTTAAAATCCTATTAATGTCACTCGCGCGTATCGGCCAGCCGCCACTTTCCTCTAATCAAACATTTCAACGGCAGCGTTCTTAATTACGCGAATGTAATTACATTTCACCGGCCGGCGCATCTTGTCGGCGCGATCTGGACAGACTCGATTTCCCGATTTCGTTCCCGCTCGCTCGCGGCGTTTCTTTTTCTTCTCGTGTTTCTTTTCTTCTCTCTCTCTTTAGAAGAGTTCTCCTCTACCTAAGGCGCGAGATCGTAGGCGCCGGGTACAGGCGAAGGCACGTCGAACGTGAAAAATGGATGTTTATCCTGCGGGGAGGAGGCCTCCTCGGGGCGAGAAGCGCACGTCCTGCCACGCCTGTCATTCAGCGCGCGCACCAATACACCGCCGCGATAATTGCCTCCGTGGTTTTTCGCACGCGCGCGCCCATAATTAATCGTCGCGCGTACGGTACGATGACGCAACGCAGGGAAAGGGGGATGAAGGGTGCGATGGAGGAATCCGGGACGCGCTCGCGACGTACAAATGGCCGTGCGAGATGAACATCCGGATCGGTGCGCGTGCACGATGAAAAAGATCACCGGCGCGTCGCTCCGCTGCGCGCGGAGTTTCTCCTCCGCAGGAGGAGACGGATAAAATGACGTTACAATTTGCACTTATGCGTATCTCGCGATGCCTACTTTGATTATCCGTGCGGTAATCTTATCGATATGCTCGTCCTCCACGCGTTTCAAAATGACTTCGCCACTTCGTCGACCGACGCCCCGGTATTCCTTTTAACTTTCCATTCTCCATGCTAGGCTCTATTTCGACCGGCTTCGAAGCGATATTCTATATCAAAATAATTATTTGCGCGAGAAATAAATTCGTGGTATCGTATTGAGTCTTCGTTGCTTATTAGAAATTGCGGTGACTTTTATATTTGTAGAACGCAAATACGAGTTAAATTAGACGACGAGCCGCTCGTGATTCTGAGATACTCTGTATACGATCGCTTACCTGATAGGGCGCCGGCAGGTACACGCCGCTGTTCAACGACAACAGGAAAACGCATTTGACCAGCAGAGCGGCGAACACGAGGGCGGCGGGGAGACCCACCAACCGGAAAGCGGCGCAGGACAGCGGATTTTGGCTGAGAGAGGCCGCGGCGGAGAGACCCGCCAGGAGGAAGAGGCCCAGAAGCAACGCCTGGCCCAGAAACAAGTGTCGTCTGTTCGGTGCCGTTGCTCTAGCCTACAACAATGCCGCGAAGAATGACGAAAGGTTATTATTTTGCGAATAAAAGGAAGTAATTTTATCATTCACGTTACTTTTGCGTAGCTCTTTGAACGTGATTTTAGAACGACGAGCTGCGAATGACGCAAAAAGCAATCTTGCTAACCGTGCAACTGAATATATAAAGACTTTCCTTTAATTTGTTGAGATTCTTCTTAATTAAGAACAATGTTCGCACCGCTTAAATATACTAGAAATTAATTTTAGAGACAAGTGCTTCTAAATTCTTCAATTTTCCAAGTATCAAGATATTTCGCGAATACGTTTCTAAAATGGAAAAATATATATATTTTAACTTTAATATTTCTCATCGAAATTTCAGAGAAAAAGGCTTATAAATTCCAAGCTATTTTACGAATATGTTTCTAAAATGGAAGAAACGTGGAAAAAGATATAGTTGAAAAACTGGAATATTTTACACAGAAATGTTCTCTGTATGCTTTAAGTTCTGGGATATTTGAGTAATACTGGAACGATATTCCGCGATGCTCCGGCTTGCAATTAGTACCGGAACCGAGACATTTGAATCGCCAAGTCGTTAGCATTTCTTATTGTGCTCATCTTGATAGCCTCGTTTGTTATAATTGTAGTGTTACGATATCGAGATGTTGATATTAACGTTCTAACTAATTGATCCTAAATATACAGCCGCCGTTGTAAAGTGCTTGGTACTATACTATACGTTTACATTTAAAGTACAAAATGCACTTTCATCGAGTCGTTCGATACGCCCGGGTGGTTTTGCGCGTACTACTCTGCAAGACACAAAAGTGCATTATCAAGAGTCCTGGAAGTACCGATCTCCATATCGCTCTCACGCTATTAATTCCGTAAAGAGGATCGAGACGCGAAATGCGAATCGCGCGGAGTGGACCGTAACCGCTCGCGCGTCATAATTATGCGCGGATTAAACTTGAAGTGAGCTCACGTGGAGCCGATGTTAATTTCTCCAATTAAAATAACCGATATCCTTCCTCGCGCCGATTCGTTTCTTACTCACAAATTAATCAGTTATTTTCCACACTTTTCACTACGTTTTACTAATACATTTCGACACTCTTTCTTTATGCAAAACCCAGATAGCACACGTAGTTCTATGAATATTCTATAAATATATACAGATTAGTACAATTAGAAATCATATATTCATAACTAAAGAACAACGTTTTTCGAATATTCGTTCAGATTAATTTTTTAATATTCATCGAGTTTGTGTATTGCACATTGTTTATTGTGCAATACACTTATCTTATGCAGAATGCAGTGAAACCTGTGATCATACCATATATAACCGACACGCTACATTCGATAGATTATTCTATTCACATTCGAAAAAGATTTATAGCAGTGCCAGTCGAATGTTCCACGAACATAAGATAAATATACAAGAATGACCTATGGAATATTTCAAATATTCTTGAAGAATATTCTTAAAATGTTCCTACGAGTGTCTTGTGGTATCTCGGAATGTATTAGTGAAAAAGAAATAAGAACAACCGTGTGTTCCTAGAAATAAATAGAGAGGAGATATTTTTCCAACTATAAAATACTAAACTTCTGAATATAAACTTTCTTGAAGTTTCCAGGAAGCTTGACAAATTTCGTGGATCGTCGTATATTACGTTAATGAAACTTTAATTTTATTTGTCCGGTCATTCTCGATTTACTTTCTCTCCGATTGAAATTCCGAATTTCCGAGGCCAATTAATCTCACAGCGTTTAACTAGCTCGGCTTTTCTCGCCGAGAGTGCTCAATGGAGCGTGTCGGAGGGTGCGACCGGGAGAAAACCGGGGCCGGTCTGACGTGAGCGTAAACTGGGCCTAGGTCTCGGCGAAATTCCCTCAGCGCCGGTTACTGGAGCTTGTCGAAACGAAAACGATTAATAGTGGGTCGGCGAGGATAGGCCGATAGGCGAGTTCCTTTCCGAGCTCTATTAATCTTGCTGTTGCGCGATCGCCGAGTGACAAATCTTATCGATGTTTACGCGTTCCATTTCACCCGCGGGACCAGTTTGCTCCTCAACATCGCCTCGCACGCACATTTTTCGTACAACGCGGAAAAGTGAAATTACGTTATCGCGAGAACGTGCGAACGGACGTGACAATATTTATTACGCTCTAGAATAAAATTTCAAATAAATTGTGACAAGTATTGTAAAAAAATAAATAGTCAGTTGACAAGTAAAATAATTATATGGCGGAGGTGTGGAGTATAAATTCAAATGAGACTGAATGGATTGAAGGTGGGAAAAGATTGGCGCGTTAAAACAAACGTAATTTGAGCGCAAACATAGTAACTCGAGTACAGCAAGTAAAAAAAAAAGGATTAAAGAGAGAGTCTTGTAACCGAGAGATCCTCAAATAATCATGATTGAATCAAGAGCGATCATTTACAAGATCCAATTATAAAGATACATAATATTATATATCGCGTCATTCCGGCGAATAAAATTTCTACATTCACAGTCCGTCGTAGAACTTCATTTCAGAAAAGATTCGATATTCATTAAGAAATCAAGAAAGAAAACCGCTCACACATCGTTTATCCGCTCCGTAAACCTCCTCCCTTCGGGCAGGAAATAAAGCATTCGCAACGAGCGAACAAAGAGACAACGTAGGCGCGCATTAATTGTTAAACAATTCCGGACCTACCTTGAACAGCACGAAGACCTCGAAGCCGGCCATGAGGAGCATCGCCGCGGCGCTGAGCCCGGCGAGCGGCAGCGCCCAGGGTCGTTGCTTCAGCAAGGACTTCGGGGTCGGTCGCATATCCACCTCCTGGCTCTTCCTCACGCCCGGCGGTGTCCTGAAGACGGTGATGGTCCGGTTCGGTGCCGGCACGCTGATGACGCTCGCCACGCTCGCCAGGCCGTGTCCGATATCGGACGGCACCAGGAAGAACTCCGTCGAGAGCTCGTAGTCCCGAGAGCGCGGGGCCCTCGTCGCCGTCGCCGTGATTCCGCTCGACGGGCCCAGCCAGCCGGCCGTGGCCGTGGCCCACGATAGGATAATCGGGCCCAGCCTCATTGCGGCATCGGCAGCTGTTTCTGGCTTTCTTTCGCTCTCTCTCTTTCTCTCTCCCTCCCTCCCTCCCTCCCTCTCTCTCTCTCTCTCTCTCTCTCTCTCTCCCTCGCTCTCTCTCCCTCTCTCTCTCTGTCTCCCTCTCGCGCGGGTACACGCGGGCGAATACGTGCGTGCGAGCTCGCGTGCGTGCGCACTCGTGGTCGGGATCGCCGTCGTCGTCACCGGGACAT